TTGAGCACTTAAAATGTGGCTGGTGCAACCGATGGCCTGAAATCTTAATTTCATTTAAATTAAAGTAATTTAAATTTTAATAGCCTCACATGGCTAAGTGGCAACCCCGTTGAACAATCTAGATGACAGAAGTGAGCTGATAGGATGGGCATGAAATTAAGCCCATCATTAGTCTCTCTGGAACTTCTCACGTGAGCCCCAGTTTTTCAGATTCTCAATTAATTAGTAGTTAGGAGTACTGGTCCTGGAATAGCAGTCCATAGGTTCAAATCCAGCCTCTGTCATTTAGGAGTTGTGTGGCCTTAAGCAAGTCACTTCAATTCTGTATGACTCATTTTCCTCATCTAGGGGATTTGGTGAATAATAGTACTTTGTCGGGTTTTTGTGAGAATTAAATGATAAGTGCATTTAAACTCATTAATATAGTCTTTGATACATACGGCCTTCTGTAATGGTTACCTGAAACTTGTTATTATTATTAGGTCTTTCTCCTCCTAAACACACTGGTCCGTAATTTTGGCCCCCAAGCATATTTTGGCTGCTAATTTCTCCCAGCATCCACCAACAGGGCAGGTTTGCATTTTGCCTTTAAAAATGCACCGGTGGGCTTCTCTTTTTCCTTACCAGCATGAGAAGAGCATGAGAAAGAGAGAATTAAATTCACTTTATGTCCTTGTGTTTCTATGGGCCTGTCAGGCATGACAGTGTGGGAGAGAGATTGTGGCTAACGTTCTAAACACAGCTTCATCGTTCCTCATTGGAACACACACATACACCAAGAATGTGGTATTGACTAGACTTGGGGAGTTGGTCTTTTTGTGCTGACCCTCATCATTGCATTTGAATTTTGCTAGAAAATTCAGTAGCCTTTTGAGAAAATAGCATTCGGAATGTCTGTGTATCTTTAAATCCTAGAATCCCCGTCTATGAGCAAAAGGTACATGCCACAAAAGGCTTAGTCAAAACACCTTGATCCTTCAGCTAAAGCTAGATTTCAAGATAATGGATTTTTTCCTTCCATGGTCAGTAACGTATGCTATTGAATAAGTCTGTAATGTTTGATCTGGCATAAAGCATGATCTTTTTGTGGGCAGCATTTTTTCTTAGAACAGGTCTGAAAAAACATAGCTCCAGTGGCTTGCCAGCCTCAGATCTGAGTATTGGCACCTCTCAATTTGTTTAAAACTGGGAGTGTACAGTTCTTTCTCCGTGGAAAACACAATTCATCCCTTATGCTCACAGAGAGTGAGTCAGGCAGGCACAGTCACCATTTACACCGCCACAGTGTGGGAGCCTTGCAGAAGCTCTTTAACCCTGCCATTCCCTAAACATGCCCCTAAAGCAGCTTGCAGCTGGGTTCTCTCATTACTAGAAATAGTAATAACAGCAGCATCAAGAACAACTGACGTTATTGCATGTTTAGCGTGTAGTAGATATGATTCTAAGCACTTTCCACGGACTATCCACTTCATCTTCCCAGCAACCCTGTGAGGCAGATACAGTTGTTATTCCCATTTTACAGGTTAATATAAGTGAGGCAAGAGAGGCGGTGTAGCCCAAGGCCACACAGCTTGGAAGTGGAGGAACAGGATTCAAATGTGGACATTTTAGCTCCAGAACCTGTGCCATTAACCACTATCTACGGAGAGGCGGTGTAGCCCAAGGCCACACAGCTTGGAAGTGGAGGAACAGGATTCAAATGTGGATATTTTAGCTCCAGAACCTGTGCCATTAACCACTATCTACAGCAGA